TCTCCTCCAGATTGTTCATCCAGCCTGTCCTATCCAGACAGGCCTGTGGAGACAACATGCATAAAAACAAGACAGAGCAAAACCAAGCAACACTGCATAAAATTATTTTCATTGCTACTTCATAACTGTAATTTTGCTACTGTTATGAATCGGGCGACCACTATAAAAGGGTTGTTCGAGCCCCATAGGGGTTGCTTGCGACCCACAGGTTGAGAACCTCTGCCTTAGTGTAAGGTGGAAATTTTGCATACATCCTACCCTAATCATGTCCATTACCATAACAGAGAACTTCTTCCCAAATGGAATTATAACCATAGGCATTGTTGTTTTTCTTAGTTGCTGTCAACTCAATTCTGATACAGAGTAAGCCTATGTAGAACAGAACAAAATCCTGGCTGGTCTTGCAGCATCCTCATAATTGCTGTGAATGCTGGAGCCTGTTGAGGTAGCCTCTGGGTCAATCCATCTTGTTAAAGATCTTCCTCTTTTTAACTCCCGTTCTACGTTATTAAACGTGATGTCCTTTTTTAGGGACTGATCTCTCGTGATAATGTGTCCTGTGTGAGATAAAGTCTCACCATTCCAGCTTCTAGGGAGTATTCTGGTTGTCCTTCTGAGACACTGTTTTTTGGCAGTGCATGGCACTTTCAGAGTTCTTCACCACCGCGATAATGCAAATGTGTCCCTTCTTTTACAGTCTTCCTTATTCAGTGTTCAACTATTCATATGAGGCCATTGAAAATACTGGGACTTGGGTCAGGTGACCTTAATCCTCAAAGTGGCATGCTTGCTCTTAACACTTTAAAGAGGTCTTGTGCTGCAAATTTAACCAATGTAGTGTATCATTTGATAGAATTCACAATATACCACGGAGGAATTATGGCTACAGGGGCTATATTAAGGAACTGACTACATCATAAGCTATATAAGTAGAATACCTGGTTAGATGCATGAAGGAAAACGACAAAGCATATAAAGCTGGAAGGATAGATTATAAATTCACATACTTGAAATAGGTAAAATACTTTCTGTACCCTTTAATGATAAACAAAATGTTATTAATTAAATTCTGAAATGTACCCATGATGAATACAGTTTTGGAAATCACATTCTGTATCTAGTGCTGAACTGAAGCATTTTCTTTACCTTGTGCTTTTTCAGTGTTTCCAGATCATGAGCAGCATCTTGTGACCCTGTAAGAAATAAATCATTATCACCTTAACATATAAAATAACCAACTTTTCCAAATAAATATTTATAGCAATTTATTTATTTATGTTTTAAACAGAAACGCCCATCAAAAAAATCTTGGGAGGACCTCAGTCTTAATTTCTAATAAGACAATTTGGTATCTTTCATCAAAAAATGATTTACCTTAAATATGCTCTTGGACTCATGAAATTCCAGTTTTAGGAATCTGTCCTAAAGTCAAACATGTTGAAAAGATTTATGTATCAGGCTTTTTCATTATACTACTGTTTAGAAGCCCAATGATAGGAGTTCCACCAATTTCAATCCATTGCCATGGAGCGCATTCTGACTTAAGTTATCTGTAACTTTAAGCTATAAATCTTTATGAGAACAGGAGGACCTCCTCTCTCTCTCTTGGAACCCCTGGGCTTTGAACCTCTGACTTTGCAGTCAGCTGTCCAGGATGTACTCAACAGCACCACTAGAGCTCCTGCATGATGGAGGCTACATTAAATTAAACATGAGTTAATTATGTGGTACCATATATGCAGCTATTAGAAAACATTTACTTGTGCAGAACTCTGTTTTCAATAGACTAGGTGATAAAATTAGGTTATGACACCAATTTTGTTAAAATAGAACTAGACAAAGCAAAAAGATATGTACATGCTTTAAAATAGACAGGAAGGGTCCATCAAGCCTTGAGGACGATATCCCCGCTCAGAACAGCCAATGCACAGAGAGGACCACATGGCCAGCCCCACTATGCAACACAATGTCCCCCCGCGGACCCATGGCCCTACAGGGGACAACACTGGAGACACAGTGT